GGCTACCAATCCCCATCAGAGACGCTGGCAAGGCTGTCAATCCCATCAGAGACGCTGGCAAGGCTGCCAATCCCCATCAGAGACGCTGGCAAGTCTACCAATCCCATCAGAGACGCTGGCAAGGCTGCCAATCCCCATCAGAGACGCTGGCAAGGCTGCCAATCCTCATCAGAGACGCTGGCAAGGCTACCAATCCCATCAGAGACGCTGGCAAGGCTACCAATCCCATCAGAGACGCTGGCAAGGCTGCCAGAGACGCTGGCAAGGCTGCCAATCCCATCAGAGACGCTGGCAAGGCTACCAATCCCATCAGAGACGCTGGCAAGGCTGCCAATCCCCATCAGAGACGCTGGCAAGTCTACCAATCCCATCAGAGACGCTGGCAAGGCTGCCAATCCCCATCAGAGACGCTGGCAAGTCTACCAATCCCATCAGAGACGCTGGCAAGGCTGCCAATCCCCATCAGAGACGCTGGCAAGTCTACCAATCCCATCAGAGACGCAGTAATCACCACCACGTGCCTCAAATGATCCTCTCGCTTCGGATGTGAGTAGTGTCCCTCACTTCCTCTTTCCGAAAGTAATAATAATTCAAATAATAATAACAACAACAATGCACAAAGAAATTACACATTATCGCGATGTATAAACGAGAACGTCAGTAGGAGCCGTGAGGAGGATTCGAACCTGTGCTCTGGGGCTCCCAGGCACACGCCTTAGACAACATGGTCAAAAGCAGTGCAACCTGGAAGTGAGAGGAGGAGGCCGAGGGAGAGTGAGGAGGCCGAGGGAAAGAGGGGCAGGCCGAAGGAGAGAGGGGAAGCCCGAGGGAGAGCGGGTAGGCCTAGGAACAGTAAAGCCGTCAGTGACAGAACCATTTGGGGATGACAGCCAGGCGCCTCACCCAGTGCCGAGTTTAGTACACACCTTTCCGCGCCTCACCCGTGCTCCTGGCCACGCCTCACCCGTGCTCCTGGCCACACCTCACCAGTGCTCCTGGCCACGCCTCACCCGTGCTCCTGGCCACACCTCACCAGTGCTCCTGGCCACGCCTCACCAGTGCTCCTGGCCACACCTCACCCGTGCTCCTGGCCACACCTCACCAGTGCTCCTGGCCACGCCTCACCCGTGCTCCTGGCCACACCTCACCCGTGCTCCTGGCCACACCTCACCCGTGCTCCTGGCCACGCCTCACCAGTGCTCCTGGCCACGCCTCACCAGTGCTCCTGGCCACACCTCACCAGTGCTCCTGGCCACACCTCACCCGTGCTCCTGGCCACTCCTCACCAGTGCTCCTGGCCACGCCTCACCAGTGCTCCTGGCCACGCCTCACCAGTGCTCCTGGCCACACCTCACCAGTGCTCCTGGCCACGCCTCACCAGTGCTCCTGGCCACACTTCACCAGTGCTCCTGGCCACACCTCACCCGTGCTCCTGGCCACACCTCACCAGTGCTCCTGGCCACGCCTCACCAGTGCTCCTGGCCACGCCTCACCATTTGCTCCTGGCCACACCTCACCAGTGCTCCTGGCCACGCCTCACCAGTGCTCCTGGCCACACCTCACCAGTGCTCCTGGCCACACCTCACCAGTGCTCCTGGCCACACCTCACCAGTGCGCCTGGCCACGCCTCACCAGTGCTCCTGGCCACACCTCACCCGTGCTCCTGGCCACGCCTCACCAGTGCTCCTGGCCACGCCTCACCAGTGCTCCTGGCCACACCTCACCAGTGCTCCTGGCCACACCTCACCCGTGCTCCTGGCCACACCTCACCCGTGCTGGACACACCTCACCAGGGCTCCTGGCCGCACCTCACCAGCGCTCCTGGCCACGCCTCACCAGTGCTCCTGGCCACACCTCACCCGTGCTCCTGGCCACACCTCACCCGTGCTCCTGGCCACGCCTCACCAGTGCTCCTGGCCACGCCTCACCAGTGCTCCTGGCCACACCTCACCAGTGCTCCTGGCCACACCTCACCCGTGCTCCTGGCCACACCTCACCAGTGCTCCTGGCCACGCCTCACCAGTGCTCCTGGCCACGCCTCACCAGTGCTCCTGGCCACACCTCACCAGTGCTCCTGGCCACGCCTCACCAGTGCTCCTGGCCACACCTCACCAGTGCTCCTGGCCACACCTCACCCGTGCTCCTGGCCACACCTCACCAGTGCTCCTGGCCACGCCTCACCAGTGCTCCTGGCCACGCCTCACCATTTGCTCCTGGCCACACCTCACCAGTGCTCCTGGCCACGCCTCACCAGTGCTCCTGGCCACACCTCACCAGTGCTCCTGGCCACACCTCACCAGTGCTCCTGGCCACACCTCACCAGTGCGCCTGGCCACGCCTCACCAGTGCTCCTGGCCACACCTCACCCGTGCTCCTGGCCACGCCTCACCAGTGCTCCTGGCCACGCCTCACCAGTGCTCCTGGCCACACCTCACCAGTGCTCCTGGCCACACCTCACCCGTGCTCCTGGCCACACCTCACCCGTGCTGGCCACACCTCACCAGTGCTCCTGGCCACACCTCACCAGCGCTCCTGGCCACGCCTCACCAGTGCTCCTGGCCACACCTCACCCGTGCTCCTGGCCACACCTCACCCGTGCTCCTGGCCACACCTCACCAGCGCTCCTGGCCACGCCTCACCAGTGCTCCTGGCCACACCTCACCCGTGCTCCTGGCCTCACCCCAAGTTTACCCATTAAGTATCTAAATGAAAAATCTAGTTTGGTTTGGGCGAGGCTTCAGGAGGCGCCAATTGTTTGTGTTTGTAGGTGAAGATGGTGACTGTTGTTGTCTTTACCCCGTCCTGCTGTCTGGCTCTTGTTGACGCACGCGGCTAATTGACGCACGCGGCGGTCCAAACTACCGGGCGACGGCCCAAACTACCGGTCGACGGCCCAAACTACCGGTCGACGGCCCCAAACTACCGGTCGACGGCCCCAAACTACAGAACAATGGCCTAAACTACCGGTCGACGGCCCAAACTACCGGTCGACGGCCCCAAACTACAGAACAATGGCCTAAACTACCGGTCGACGGCCCAAACTACCGGTCGACGGCCCAAACTACCGGTCGACGGCCCCAAACTACCGGGCGACGGCTCAAACTACAGCACAATGACCCAGATTACCAGGTGACGGCCCAAACTACAGAACAATGGCCCAAACTACCGGTCGACGGCCCCAAACTACCGGGCGACGGCCCAAACTACACAACAATAGCCCAAACTACCGGGTGACGGACCAAACATCTGAGTAGCAACGAACTCTACGACAGGAGGGACAAACAACCAGCAGGGCGGTGCCGGACTACCGAAAATCAGGGCTGAACAACCGGGCGGCAGAGGACGGACAACCCCCAGCAACACGTCTCTCACATTCAAGACCCTAAGAAACCCTGAACCAAAGTATCGTCTTATTACCTTAATTTCAAAGCAAACCTAAACCCATACGTGACGTTCACAACAGTCCCGCTGCCCTTACGCGAAGTGCAGCAGGCGCAGCGGCCCCCAAGAACCAACAAAGAATGAAACCCGACAACCTCTACGATATATTTTGGCGCCACACAAGAGGTGTCGTGTAGTGTAGGGAGATAACACGATATACGAACACCTTTGTATCCTGCTCCACGTGAGGTCGTCGCCACTACACCCTTGACCACCGAGAGAGCGGAATTCTCCAAAACAACTAAACGTCGAGGAAAATCCCACATAAAAGGAAGATAGGATGACATGCCGACATCTTGGAATCCCTCGACAGAAGATGGTAGACAGTTGTAACCAATTAAAAACTATTTATTTACATCCTATATACGCCTTTCCACCTTATTTATACAGGTGAGTTCATTCATTTATTGTATATGTCATGCGATACGAGACGCAAATGAGCCATTAACTCTTGAATTACGAGGGAAAAAAAAGAGAGAGGACATTTTCCCGCCCGCGGGGAGGGCGGCGGCGACATCCCGGGCGGTGTCGGGTGGCTCGATACATAAGGGAGGGGGGGGGGGGGGGCGCAATTAGCTGCCTTCATATGTTTTTGTTGTCCACGATGAGTTGTGGAGCGGCAGCCGGCAGGGCCGAGAGGGAGAGGAAAGTGTGAGTGGAAAAGGGAGGTAAGGAAGCTGGGGAGGAGGGTGGGAGAGGCGTCGGGTTGGGTGTGAAGAAGAGGGACTGTGTCATCACTACGGGAGTGTTTTATGTGGGAGAGAGGGGAGGGGGGGGGGTAGAGCTGCTCCAGACCCACCGTAAACTATGTGAACAAGAGCTGGGACACACATGTTGAGCTCTGTAACTACTTCATACACCCGCGAATATAGCAAGATATTCTTGTGCTCTACCCAGAGTTTGCTAGTGCAGGTTGTGTGCCTAGTGTAGCACTAGGCTAGTGCTACACTAGTAGACTAGTGCAGGCTAGTAAACTAATGCAGTCTGGTAGACTAGACGCGCATCTCATGTTTTCTCACGATTTCATGAATCAATAACGATCCTGCGAGACGGAGATATTAGATGAACTAATAGTTCTTGATCTCTACATTATAATCCTCGCAGAGAATACGGGCAGCAGCACACTGCTGTGTGCACCTAAGCTTGTTGCTAAAAAAAAAGAAGACCTATGGCGGGCGGGAGGCTGTTCGAAATTAGGGCAGGGCGGAGGAGCGACGGAAGTGGATAGGCCAGGCAGGAGATGAAGACCCAATGGAAAGAAAATGACTCCCAACAAGAAGGGATAAAATGAGAAGGAGTGTGATGGGAACATTAGTCAGGTGAGGCCTACGACACACGCTCCCCGGGCACCGTCAAGACGCCCCCTCCAATATATATATATATTATGTATATTATATATAATTTATATATATAGGGGAAGAGGCGTGAGGAGGGGTCCCACCCGGCAAGAGAGGGAGACACACAACCTCACCACATAAACAAACTCGTCCCGGGTACCTGACAGTTGAGGGGGCAGACCTGTAACATAAAAATAGGGGCAGAATAATACATAAACATACCTTCCGCAGATGCTGGCGTGACGACGGAGAGGCAGACGACCGCTAGACAGAGAAGAGAGACGGAGGCTGCAACACCCCAGCCCATACTACGTCCTCTCCTGCCGCCCTGCATCTTCTTCACTGGTCAACAACCCGTAGTCGCATTTGCTGCACGTTCGAAACTCCACTTATAACTCCTTTTATCCTTTCAAGCAAAGCGAACTCTTTATTTTCCACTGTTTACATTTGTGTAAATGTTTACAGACGTTACCAATTGTCTCAGAACTCAACGTGACGCAGAAGCGAATATTTGCAAGTCTATGCTAAGTTCTCGCACGCCATTGGTTCACCTGGGAGGAGGATAAGAGGAGTCGTGTGTGTGTGTGTGTACGAGGATAAGTCTTATAAAAGTTATGCCAGACTCACCCATGACACACCTGACAACGGCCAGTTGGCAAACCTCATTGCTTACCCACGCGGTCTTAACATAAATGTATGTGAACGTGGTATGCGATTATTTGTCACATTTCTTTAGCATAAATGGTTTTACCGAATAATTAATGGTTCGTTCTTAAGAGTGCACTTGATAACTTTGTACTATCATCAATCAGGTGTAGCAGGAAGAAGGGAAATTCAACCTGCACACCTGACACCCAACCTGCACACCTGACACCCAACCTGCACACCTGACACCCAACCCGCACACCTGAAAGTAAAGAACTGACGACGTTTCGGTCCGTCCTGGACCGTCATTATCAAGTCGAATTGATAATGGTCCGGGACGGACCGAAACGTCGTCATTGCCTTTATTTTCAGATGAGTTGGGTGTCTAATTTTCAGCCCCGTTATTGTGACTTATTGTCTGTCTGTGGATAGCTCAACTTAACACGTCCTCAACACGCCTCTCAATACGTCCTCAACACGCATCTCAATACGCCCTCAATACGTCCTCAACACGCATCTCAATACGCCCTCAATACGTCCTCAACACGCATCTCAATACGCCCTCAATACGCCCTCAATACGCCCTCAATACGTCCTCAACACGCCAGAAGACAAAGCTGCCTCTCTCAACACTGTTAACCAACAACGGTGAAAATTGAAAAACTCACAAGGCCTGATTTCTCGTGTAGGCTCTGGACAACATTACATCATCAGGGCACTTGCTTGTGGTCAAGATACTTCCCTTTATCAAAACAACTGATAAATTGATAATTAGAGCGTTCTCTTTTAAGTCCATATTGCAGTCAACAGGATTCAAAAAGTTAAAGACCCACCTGATCATCATACAAAAAAAATAATATATTCACTATATCTTTATTCAAAAAACTTATCAAGCTGCGTAATTATAGACAAAAACATGAACATGAGTACAGGGTTGTTGATTCATGGACCAAATTAGCGGGTAACATGACAGACGGGGGATCGCTGGGTTATACTAATCGTTCATTACTCATTACTCATGTATGAGTTTGGGTGGGTGTAAATAGAGGCTGCTTCACATAGGCCAACAGACTTTCTGCAGTTTCCGTTTTTTTTTTAACACTGCGTCCTAATTTTTAATAAACTTAAACAAGCTACTTCATTTTCGCAAACAGATAATAGATATCCATTGGAGTCACTTTGGCGGATACTGTCGCAACCCGTCCTCCTAATAGAACGTCGCATTTTGACGTATACTCTAAGGCCAAAAATCGTCGTACTAGAAAATGGAAGCGGCTGGCGACATTGACGTGTACTGTCCCGTTTTCTGTTTTGGGTCCTCTGGCTGGTTAGAATAAGATCACGTTAGTACGACAGTGTCTTGACGTTGGGGGGACCTTAGGAGGACGGGCTGACTCTCAAGCATGAAGCAGCAAGCTCAGTATATGGTCAGAGGACTCCCGCCCTGGCCTTATCTGAACACTTTCATCTTTCCTGTGGTGCGTGGCTGTCCGTGCCCTACCCGGCCGTGGCTGTCCGTGCCCTGCCCGGCCGTGGCTGTCCGTGCCCTGCCCGGCCGTGGCTGTCCGTGCCCTGCCCGGCCGTGGCTGTCCGTGCCCTACCCGGCCGTGGCTGTCCCTGCCCGGCCGGCCGTGGCTGTCCGTGCCCTGCCCGGCCGGCCGTGGCTGTCCGTGCCCTACCCGGCCGTGGCTGTCCCTGCCCGGCCGGCCGTGGCTGTCCGTGCCCTGCCCGGCCGGCCGTGGCTGTCCGTGCCCTGCCCGGCCGGCCGTGGCTGTCCGTACCCCTGCCCGGCCGGCCGTGGCTGTCCGTACCCCTGCCCGGCCGGCCGTGGCTGTCCGTGCCCTGCCCGGCCGGCCGTGGCTGTCCGTACCCCTGCCCGGCCGGCCGTGGCTGTCCGTGCCCTGCCCGGCCGGCCGTGGCTGTCCGTACCCTGCCCGGCCGTGCCGCTACTGCAGCACCGCCACGCCGTTATCAAGATCTCCATTAAATTAATGTGGCGGCCAGCTGTGTATCTCCGGACGGACCGACAAATATAGGGCTAAACTGCTTACATAAAAAACACACCCGATAAATTGAACTAGTGTTTGCTTTTAAAAAATGTATCGTGAATGTAACTCCAGTTTAGAGAGGCCTCATGACCTCATGACTTCGCAATCTAATTACGTGAACCTATGAAAAGGATAAATTAAATATACCATGTTACAAGGGTTATGTAACATGTGAATAGAATTGATTCAAGATCCTACGGGTCCTCGTAGCCTGGTGGATAGCGTGCAGGACTCGTGATTCTGTGGCGCGGGTTCGATTCCCGCACGAGGAGAAACAAATGGGCAAAGTTTCTTTCACCCTGAATGCCCCTGTTACCTAGCAGTAAAATAGATACCTGGGTGTTAGTCAGCTGTCACGGGCGGCTTCCTGGGGGTGGAGGCCTGGTCGAGGACCGGGTCGCGGGGACACTAAAGCCCCGAAATCATCTCAAGATAACCTCAAGATAAGAAGAGAAGATGGCTAACAATTGTTTTACAAGATGCAAGAGCACAGTCTGGTTTATCCTCTGCAAAAGTCCAGTCTTGTATGTAGCTGTTTTTTCCTCCGGTAAGTCCAATCAGGCGGACGTTGGTCTGTCGCCCAGTAAGTTCTGGTCGGCGTCAGGCGAATCATCGCCAGCGAAATATGAAACTACAATATTGGCGCAGAGTTGGTGATGGTTGATGGTGAGGCGTGTATAGTGAGGAAGGGACACACACAGCACCGCTCCTATGCCAGGTAAGTCCACTACGGGCTCACCATAGCCCGTGTTACTTGCCCCGCTCCTGTGCCAGGTAAGTTACGGGCTCACCATAGCCCGTGCTACTTGGAACTTGTTCCGAGTAGCTGAATCTATAACAACAGTATGGAAGAGAGATAGTTACAGCCCCGTTCCTGTGCCAGGTAAGTCCACTACGGGCTCACCATAGCCCGTGCTACTTGGAACTTGTTCCGAGTAGCTGAATCTATAACAACAATATGGAAGAGAGATAGTTACAGCCCCGTTCCTGTGCCAGGTAAGTCCACTACGGGCTCACCATAGCCCGTGCTACTTGGAACTTTTTGTTCTCAGTAACTGAATCTGAAACAACCACAAGAGTGAGGAGGACACAAGAGGCTCTCATAACATTACTATACAGTAGAGCACTGCGTGGCGCTCTATTCTGTATTCATAACGATATTATTTTTGTCAAAAACTATTTATTTAATCGCGTGTATCTACTGTACATAAGAGGGCGGCCAGAGGCACTGTGACTACCATATACTTAAAACCTGGGGTGGTAGGTTTATGTATACAACGTATACATAAACCTGGGGTGGTAGGTTTATGTATACAACGTATACATAAACCTGGGGTGGTAGGTTTATGTATACAACGTATACATAAACCTGGGGTGGTAGGTTTATGTATACAACGTATACATAAACCTGGGGTGGTAGGTTTATGTATACAACGTATACATAAACCTGGGGTGGTAGGTTTATGTATACAACGTATACATAAACCTGGGGTGGTAGGTTTATGTATACAACGTATACATAAACCTGGGGTGGTAGGTTTATGTATACAACGTATACATAAACCTGGGGTGGTAGGTTTATGTATACAACGTATACATAAACCTGGGGTGGTAGGTTTATGTATACAACGTATACATAAAATATATTACATCGTAGTATATCTTTGGATTTATCAATAAAGTACTTAAAAAAAATCCTCTTAGCAAAATGTTACAAACTTATACCACAGCTAAAATCAATCGACTAGCGATATTGCAACACTTGCAACAGAAACACTCCCGAACAAAAAAGGCAGTTCCCTGCACGTTGCGTAATGATCGCGTAATGAGACCCTGTGAGCGAGGGAGCGGGCGGCCGGACACACCGTGTGTGTGCCGTTAAGCGTCGCACTAAACCATAAGACCAGCCGCTAAACGACAAGACGACGGCCTCCAGCAGCGCCTCAGCGGCCCCAGCGCCTCACACGATAACATATCTCCTGAAGAAATATTTGCGTATGGCTTCCCGTCTGTGTTATGACATTATCTGGCCTCGAGCGGCGCAAATGAAGATGCTCTGCGCTATCTCGCCCAGCATCTGGCGAGTGGCTCTCCTCCTCCAGCCTGAAAAGATGAGAAACATCCGTTAGCATTGTCACGAGAGCGCTAAAATAATTAATAACAAAAGGCAGTAACAATAACATGTGTTTGGTAGCAACAAGACTTGAGAGAGACAAAGGGCGGCGCATCTGGGGCCTTTCCTGTCATTACAACCAAGAGCAGGTACACCTCCTCGGGTAAGGGAGAAAATGATCACATGCAGGTTCAGTTAATTAAGTGTTATCGCCAGTGAATCTCTGTGAAACATTCACACGCGGGCTGACAAATACCGCCCTTAGTGCTTCCCGTCACTAGACCCTCTTCATCCTGCGCTGCCCTCCCCGTGATGGCTGTTAGTCTGCGCATAGCTAACAAGGTCATTCACGTGAAGATATAACCGTGCCTGGCCGTATATCCCCCGACAAGAGAGGGCAGACGTCACTTTTTGCTGCGCCACAAGGTTACTTAGCGCCCCGGGTTTTTGTTGATGTTATGAGGAGGACGGCTGGTTCATGGGAGGCCGCTGCAGTCTTGTGCACCGCCAGCTCTCACCCCGTCCCTAGTCCCTTACCCTTTCCTCCCACTCTATCCCCCCTTCTCTATCCCCCCTCTCTCTGTCGTATCCATAGGAGACATCTCCCGTCACGCAGGGTGCAGCCGCACCTCCACAGATCTCCAGTATCAGCTCTTGATACTGGTAATGGCTCAAAAGGGCCACCAATTACGGGCTATTCGTGCCCGTGCCACCTTTTGAGTGGCTTAATCTTCATCAATCAATC